CCATGTCGACTCTACATGTTTCGACGTTACAACGTCATCCTCAGAAGTTGTAATGTTGTAACGTCAAAACATGTAGAGTCGACATGGCTGGTCTTTTCCCCTTCTAAAAAGTCTGCGTTTTTTATCTGTTGTCTTCTCTATTCTGGTCAGACCATCAATCCTCATTGGAGCAGGAAAGTGGATTCAGCCAATGGAAAGCACATGAATGGATTAGTGTTCATGAAAATGCTAAGAATCATTGGGAGTGCTTCACTCAGTGGAAAGACATTTAGCTAAAACAGATGAGTTACTGACGCAGAACTTAAGACACAGATTGAGAAGGAAAAGCAGAAGTGGCATGATATCTTGACAAGAATCCTTCACTGCATAAAATTCCTTGTGACTCAGAACCTGGCTTTGCGAGGACACAGGGAGTCACTTGAGCTAGACGATGACTCCAATTTGGGAAATTTCCATGGCTTACTGAAACTACTGGCCATTTTTGACCCTGTCATGAAAGAACACCTCACTCGTGTGGTAAGTCATCCTGGATCCACATCTTATCTTTCACAAATTCATCCACATGATGGCATCCACTGTTCGCCAGAGTTTACTGAGAAGCATTCGTAAAGCCAAGTACTATGGTCTCATTGCCAGCAGCTATATGAAGAAATTTTGGATTGCAGAACATTGCTATCAAGTCGGGCCAACACGAAAATATCAAGACCTGAAGAGCTTCTCGAATTTATTGTTCAGTATGGAGATGAGAGCATCTTTCCCATTCTTCACATTATTATTCAGATAATGCTAACCATCGCAGTTTCCATCGCCAGCTGTGAGAGATCATTCAGCAAGTTAAAACTAATACTTTCGTAGTTGAGAGACTCCATGGGTCAAGGCAGACTCTGTGATCTTGCTATGCTGAGTGTAGAAAGAGAAGAAACTGAAAAAACTGACTTTGAGCACATCATAGACCAATTTGCATCAGGGAAAGCAAGGAAGGTGCAGTTGTAATTTTCATGTAGTGCCATAATTTGTTAATTACAAGATTAGTGAGCTTGAGTTGTATTTTTGAGCTGATATTATGGTAAAGTTATCTAAAATATGGGTATCAGATGTTTGGACAGGGGTGCAATTTCAGTGCTTGTCATAGGCGCTATTTTCCGTAGATACGCCCCTGAATGATTATCAACAATCCTCTTGAAATTCTTGACACATGATTTCAAAATAGTTTGCTTGATGATATCTACATAGATGCAAACATATTGGATCTAAGGAATTGACCTGGCAGTCAGAATAAACTTGTTCTCTTTGGTAGAAATGAAACTGGACCTCTTCCAAGACATTTTCACCAGCTTCTCAACCAGCTCAATACCTCTATTGACAGACAGGTTGTGTATGCACAGGGGTCAGAGTTGAAACAACTTGTTAGTGGAAATAATAATCTAAAGAACTTACAGCCAAATGCAATGTATAAAAAAAGTGTCTGACCAGGTCCAAGACAGGGGACTTTGGCCAAATCATCAAACAAATTCAATTGATTGAACTTTACCACCTCTCATCTTCTTGTTGTGAAAGAGGATTTTCAACAATGAAAAGGGTCAAAGGTGATTGGAGATGCAGACTTTCTACATCTACTTGAAACAGTCTGATGAGAGCCAGATTAGCAGCTACCAATTCACTACATGTAATTAACAGATGTCTGGGGAGAGGGAAAGAAGGTTTAATATAGTACCATATGGTCCAAGAAGGGAAAGTAAATAAAGGACAGGTTGAGTGTGACCTCAGGCCTGTAATTAAAAGATGGTGGCTGTCTGGGGAGAGGGAAAGAAGGTCTAATACAGTACCATATGGTCCAAGAAGGGAAAGAAGGTGAAAACTAATATATTTATTTATTGTTTTTGGTTGGGACAGTTATTACTTGTCTTTTCAAATTTGCTACCAACATTTTTGGCAGGTAACAATGACTTGCTACATACTAAAAACGTTCATTTCTAACTCTAAATTGGCTTTCATTAGATTGTTGGAATTAGATGATCTAAGCAAATTCAAAAAAGAAACAGAGAGCAAAAACACGCAAAAAAGGTTGTCATATTCAGAGGTTACTGAAATGGTCAAACTGAATGAGTGTGAGCCATCTAATTAGGATGTACACAGATTGTAAGACTGATGACAAAATTAGGCGAGTTTAACGAATCGACAAGGCTAGTAAATTATAAAACATAATTATTATAGATCAAAATTAATAGGATTAGTTTAATGATCAATGAAATAAGAACGAGACGATGTGATCAAAAACGTGATGTGCTTGACATGAATCAAAGTGCACGAAGTGAATCGGTAACAACTCAAAACAGCTCAGAAAAATCAATTGTGAATGTGTCAGAATGATGACGGAGAAATGGGAGTCTAGATACTATTGATGTTACAGGAAAGAACTATCCATTAAGGATTGCTACACTGGGTATGTGGACACCTATAAGCAATCATAGAGATCAAGGGATTTAGAGTTGCCGAGGTGTATATAATAAAAGAACTATCCATTAAGGATTGCTACACAGGGTAGCTGGACACCTACAGGCAATCATAGAGATCAAGGGATTTAGAGTTGCCGAGGTGTATATAATAAAAGAACTATCCATTAAGGATTGCTACACAGGGTAGGTGGACACCTACAGGCAATCATAGAGATCAAGGGATTTAGAGTAGCCGAGGTGTATATAATAAAAAAACTATCCATTACGGATTGCTACACGGGGTAGGTGGACACCTATAGCTACAGGACACAAACAATTTCTACAAGAAACTCTTACAGGATCTTACAACTCAGTTTATTAAGACTATAAATGATAAACGTAGAGAATTTCACCAAAAAAAAATTAACAAAGAAACCTTCCAGTATTTGATACCCGGACAAGCTTGTCCGGGTAGATTTTATCTTACCGAAAATAGAAAACCAAACAATCCTGGTCAACCCACATACATGGCTACTGAAAAACTGTTTGCTTTTGTTGACCAACACATAAAATTTACTCCCTGTAACCTCCCTTCTTACATAAAGGATACTACTAACTTTCTTAATATCATAAAATATATTAATATTAACGGACAGTTACCACCTAACAGTCTTCTTTTTATGATGGATGTTTCTTCCCTTTAAACTAACATTCCACATGATAAAAAACTAGAAACTATAAAGTCTGCATTAAATCTTTCTAACCAATCAGAATCTCTAACAGTAACCTATCTTGCCAGCCTAGTTTTAACTCTGAACAACTTTGAAATCAATAACGAACATTATTTTCAGTTAACAATACTGTAATGGGTACCAAATACACTCCCAATTATGCCAGCTTTTACAACAAAGCCCTGTAAAACCTCACATGGCAACATTACATACATAACATATTTTTCACTTGGACAGTACGTTTCGAATCACTTAATGAATTTATCTCATATTCAAACACCTTTCACAAAACAATCAAGTTTACCCAAATTAACTTTTTTGACATCACTGTCCTTATAAATGATGTAATTTTACACACTGACTTATACAAAAAAAAACCTACAGACCACAATACCTTCACTATAAAAGCTGTCACTTTATTCACACTAAACGGAACATTACCTACAGTCAAACTCTTAGAACAAAGAAACAAAGGTAAAACAGACTACAGAAAACACACCAAGGATCTAAAACAAACCATGTTACAAAGAGGATATAAAGATACTGAAATCAACAGACAGATCAAAAAGTCTAACAACACTCAGCAGGAAAAACATACTAAAACAGTATAATACTATAGTTTCAAATAGAATTAATTCCTCTTGTTATTACCTATCAGTTTAAACTCAGAAACGTTTCACAAATTCTGAAAAAACATTTTCATCTCCTACAACTCAACGATCACCTTAAACAGATATTTCATGAAGTTCCCGTTGTCTCCTTGCAAGAAAGCAGAGCTCTGAAAGATATCCTTGTTTACACAAAAGTGAATTACATCCCACCAAAAAATGGTTGTCATACATGTAATACAGCCTGTTGTCAAACCTGCAAATTTATAAAAACTACTGACTCGTTTTATGACAATCACAACCAAAGAAACTTTAAAATATTCAAATAAATCACTTGTAGAACACAAAACACCATTTACCTTATACAGTGTAAAAAATGCAATTACCAATATGTAGGACATACAGAAACAACTCTTAGAGAACGTTTCAACAATCATAAATCTTCTGTTAACACTGAAAAAGATCTCTCTGTTGCTCAACAATTCAGTCTATTAACGATGTTACTCTAATCGGCATTGAAACAGGATTCAAAACTAAAGGAGATAGAGAAATAAAAGAAGCTTATTGGATTGCCAATTGAAATATTGTTAAACCTTGTGGAATAAATCTCGATCCTGAAATCAATGGTCTCTAATCATTGGTTTGTTCTCTGTCAGAAAATATTTATTTATTTATTTTTCATGTAATGTGAATTCTCAATGTTTACTCCTAATCTATCTAATACTTACTATTTATTTGTGTCATGTCTGTCTTTAGAAATTGATCTGCTTAACATTTCTTTTTCAGTCAATCTCCTTGTATCATCTATATTTTACTTTAACAACACAACCATTTGTACAGTAAAACATCTAACACCATTTTACATAACATTCTCATTTCCAGCCATGTTGCACCAGATATGAGACACTTAAAAACAGTACATTAAAAATATAAGAAAATACTTCCTGACCTTCATCACGTCACTCAACTCCTTTTATATTTCACTCATTCAGTTATATCAACATTCCCAATTTACCCTTGAAGAAGAAAGGTCCACCTTTCAAACGCACTTAGGTTATAGGGTTTTTATGCCAAATGTATTCCTATACCATGATAAGAAAGTAGTTTAATTAAATGTAACTCACTAAAACCTTGCGAGTGACATAGGATGCCCATAATGAAAGAGTTAAATTTTAAAATAGGAAAGATAATTTTGGACCACCCTGTATTACAATCATATACTCTTATGAAAAAAATTAAGTTTCAACTATAAAACACTTCTTGAATTCTGAAGCTTAGACTTGCAAAACATTAGAAAAGCCTGCTTTATACATTAAAACTTTCAAAAGTGTATATGAAGATATAAAGAAGTTAAAAAAATCACTTTACAGAAACTAGTTTAGATCTCAGCATAAATACCATGTTAAGAAAAACAATGAACAGGTAAATATGTCTGGTTATATACTGGGTTATAACACGTAAGTTTAGATCCAACTGGATCTTAAAGTAAGTTTCTAGATAAATATGTCTGGTTATATACTGGGTGATAACACGTAAGTTTAGATCCAACTGGATCTTAAAGCAAGTTTCTAGATAAATATGTCTGGTTATATACTGGGTGATAACAAGTTTAGATCCAACTGAATCTTAAAGTAAGTTTCTAGATAAATATGTCTGGTTATATACTGGGTGATAACACGTAAGTTTAGATCCAACTGGATCTTAAAGCAAGTTTCTAGATAAATATGTCTGGTTATATACTGGGTGATAACACGTAAGTTTAGATCCAACTGGATCTTGCAGAAAGGAGTGATTTTTCTAACCCAATGTTGCCACATGTACAGTTCTCTATTCCATACACTGATAAAACTGATTAAAATTTTTTATTTTCACCTTTTCTTCTCAAGTAACCAGAATCAAACTTACTTAAAAGCCATTGCTAATAGACTGCATCTGTCTAGGAAGTTTTCGACAATGTTTTGAGTTGCTAACACAGATTCCCATCAGGCTAACAGCTCAAAACGTCATCCAAAAATTTCCTAGAAAGATGTACTCCATTAACAACACATTTCTTGTACACTGTTTCTGTCTAAACTTTCTCTCAAGCAAAAAGTATCAAACAAGTTCCGACACATCAACCACGTAGTCACGACTGTTTCTAACACTGAGGTTTAACTATTCTACAATAAAGCCATAGCTTGTAGCAGTTTTTCATTCTAATTCCAATCATCTCAGATTAGGATCGCTTACTCTTTTCACTCTCTTCAATGACATAGTTTAAAAGTTCACGAAGGTTTTTAAACTCAGTCCTCCCTTGAGGTTCTTTCTTTGGGATTTGTGGCAGCATTTCTCCAATTTTCTGACGAAACTCTTTCAACTAAAATAAAAAGAAACAAAATATTATTAGTAATCCAACAAAGGATCCATGACGAAGAATTGCTGGTAGCAACAAAAACATTAAACAGCTAACATTTCAAATTATAGAAAAAATGTGATAAATCAGACACCCCTTGAATGGTAGATAGATTAAGATAGTGTTACGTATCTGCTTGTTTGTTAATTTCCGGTATAAATTCTTTCCAAGAAACGTCAGCAATACAAGTCCTTTCTTAATTAAAACTAGTTTATTCTTTCTCAATACAACTTTGTAATGCACAGAATTTCCGCCGTCACTTTAACTTAACTACTTTTATAAACACAAGCTGTAAATCACAGTGATTCACACACTTTACTTATGGTGCCTACTGTTCGCTTGACTCAATTATATCTCTCTATCTC